CTCAGCCGGCACCATCCGCCGGGTGCTGTCCGCCGCTGGCACTGCTTACCGAGTACTGAGCACAGGCACCCCCTGACCGGCACCGTCCCCTGGGTACTGTCCATGGGGCATCCCTTGCTGGGCACCGACTGTGGGTGCCAGCCCTTGGTGCCGGCCACGGGCACCGCTTGCCGGACACCGAGCATGGGTACTGGCCACGCACACTCCTTACTGGAAACCAGCTGCTGGGGGCTGGTGTACAACACTGGAGCACAGTGTGCAGGGCAAGGTGTCCATGTGTGTTACTGCAGCCCTCTCCACGTAGAGTAAGGTTGGATGTGCCAGGGGTCCCCTTGGCGTGGGGGCTGTGTTTCCATGAAGGAAACGGTGTGTGTGTGTGTGTGTGTGTGCTGGGGTGATGTGTGTGCTGCAGTGCTGCGTAGGACAGGGCTGGGGTGTGTGCCCATGAGAGTGGGGGTGTGTGTTCCTGGGACGGTGCATGTGTGTGTGTTGATGGGCTGAGGTGGGTGTACCTGTTCTGCATGACACAGGCTTGAGTGTGTGTGTGTGTGGGGGGGGGTGATGTGCAGGAGGGAGGGATGGCCACGCACAGATGTACATGTGAAAATGCAGCTCTGTTTGGGGAAGAGTGAATTTACTCATTTGCTTGTAAAGCAGGGAGTTACTAGAGTTTAAATATGTCTTTACATAACCTAGAAAGCTCAGGCAGAAGAGGAATGTGAGCTTTAAGTGTACAAGACTTTCCATTTCTTCACAAAGAAAGAGTTATATTGGTGGGGGGCTCGCTTCCCTCAGTGCTTGTTTGCTAGAATCATTTCTATCAGGAGTCTTTGAAAAGGGAAGGATATGGTGCTACAAACAAGCTGAAATGAGTAAAGTAACATTCAAAACGAACAATACTGGCAATGCCAGTGAAAGCTTTCCAAAACCGGTAACATTTTCCAGCTGCTCACTCTTAAAACATCAGGCTGGAGCTATAAAACTGCTAGCCACAGGTGGGTGAGAAGGAAAGGGATTGCAAAAAAGGAGCAAGCCAGAACAGCCCTAACCTTTTAGCTAGGTAGTCAGAGGGAGGCGTTATTTGTTACTAGTGGCTAGAAGATCTGCCTATGCCGGCTACTAGCTTACTTGAAGAGGGCTTTTGCAGCGTGTTGAGCAGTGGATCCTGGATTTATGGATAGACAGTGATTCTAAATTTCCATACACATGCACACATGACCTTCCTTCCCTCCAGCTAGGAAAAGTTGCTGGCCTTAGTTCTTGAGTAGCCTTGTGTAAAGATAAATGACTCATTTTACGGAGTAGCAGGGAACAGAGCTGACCCCTGCACACACTGTGAGCCCAGCAGCCTCTTGCCAAGGTAGAGCTGCTTGCCCTCGGGCAGGCTGGAAATGCTGGTCTCTACTGGGGACTCTGGTGCCTATTGCAGGGGTGGGAGGAGAGCCCTCAGAGAGGGGACCTGGGTGCTCCACGGGGTGAGGAGCCTGGGTAGGCAGGAGAGCCCTTGCTGGGGCGAGCTGACTGGTGATGGGGAGAACTAGGGGTGAGAAGTAAGATGAGCCTGGGGAGCCGTGAGCCCCCTGTAAATGCCCTGCTTCTTGCCCCACACAGGGCTCTTGGAGCCTGCTTGTAGCTTGGCCTCCAAAAAGGGAGGCACTGGGAGGCTTATGGCAGGCCTTGGTTTGGGGGGATGTACTTTGCTTTGATGTGTTGGTGCATGCAGCGCTTCTCCTTCCTTCACCTTTCTCCTCTCTCTGCTCCATTTGCTGTGGCCACGCTCAGCACCATGATGGTGCTGGGGCAGGGCGAGCTAGAGCCCCCTGTGCTGTCCCCGGAAGGTGACAGTGCTGCAGGCAGCGCAGCCCAGCTGAGCACCGGGGCATGTAGCAACTTCTCCAGGCACAGGCCCTCAGGTCCATTTTTCCTCCATGATCATTGTGGCAGGCCCCAAACCCACTCCCTTCCGCAGGGAGACACAAGGCTGGGCTGCACTTGCACCTTCAGAGAGGTTGCTCAAGCAAGCTCAAAGCAGAGGGCTGCTGCTAGAGGCCTACACGTGCATGCATACGTGCATGCACGCTCCTTCCTCCACACAGCTCCTGACTGTGATCCCCTCTTATCCCTCCATCCTTCTCTGCAAGCCCTTCTGCTCCAGTGCGACTATCCCAGTCCCTTCCTTCCATTGCCATCACTTGCCAGAGGCATCTGAACATCACCTGGACCATCTCGATACCAAGAGTTAGTAAGAGCTAGGCTGAGACCCCCACAACTCATGTCTCTGGTGAGCACCCACGGCTCCTCTGTCAGGCCACGCAAGGGTCTGCTGGCTCTGTGCTAGCACAGGCAGTGCTGGGGGAGCTGCAGCTGCTTCCTAGCTTGTGGCCAGGTGCCTGAGTAGCAGCAAACCCACCTTGCACAGGAAGAGCCGGGTCTTCCAGCGTCACTGAGCAATGCGTCCTGTGCACCAGGAGCTCGCTCCGGCCCATCTGCTCCGGCTTGCTGACCCTCCGCCTCCACCTCGGCTCTGAACTGTGTGCCTCACCCTCCTCTCCTCCTGCTCTGCCATCTGCCACGTCCCTGTGGCCCTAAATCACTGTCTTGCTGTCTCCACCCCTGTGGACCAAGTGCATCTGCTCCTCCCTGCAGCCTTGCCTTCAGCTGGAACATCCTCGGCCTCTGTCTGCCCCAGCACTGCTCCAGGATCCCTACTGCATGGCCTTCCTCCAGGTGACCTCCTCAGCACACCGAGTTTGCCACTTGGCTCCGGCGCGGGCCTGCACCTGCGGGAGCTGCCCAGCACCCTGGAGCACCAAGCTGCAGGCGGGATGGCAGGAGGGAAGAAGCTCTGCTCCTTGCTGGAGATTTCATTCTGCTGCAGGCAGACTCAGATAATGCCATGCGTCCAGGGGAGCTGAAGGAGTTTCCAGCAGCTGCCCCCGTGGTGGAGGGAGCTGTGGTCCTGCCGTGGTCTGGGAGAGCGGGCAGCTTGGATCTCTTCCCCTCCGGCTGTAGCGTGCTGAGTCTGAGCGTGCCACGTGTTACGACAGCAGCATAATTGGGCTTTTCAGGCTTGGCCCCAGCTCTGGCAGCGCTGCAGGAGCCAGAGGAGGACCCTCCACCCCTGCGAGACGCTGCTGGAGCTATTCTGGGGGAGCTATTCCTGTAAGGGCCCTTGCTGGTGGGGCTTTGCATGTCCCACAGCCCTTCTCACCTCCAAGACCGAACTGCACTGAATGTAGCCTTGGCTCGGGGATGCCGATGCTGTGGCTAACCTTAGTGCCGGGGCAGATACAGCGGCGCTTGCGACAGAGGCACTGTGTGCTGCACGCCCTGCTGCTTGCAGAGCGTCAGGACCGCAGATAAGCCCATGCTGATCTGAAGGGGCTCTGGATTTCCTGAAATTGCAGCCTGGTGAATAATCAGAGGATGCCCCAGGAGAGCATGTACAGTCCATTTCCAGCACCAAGAGACTGATTTCTTGGAGAGGCTCGACTGCTGAGGGACTGCAACCAGGGTAGCCCTCTGCCCATCCCCGGAGCTGGAGGAGGATGGAGGAGCAATGCACAGGGATGCCACCAGCTCAGAGGAATCTTGTGGGCAAGGACTCTGGCCTGAGGCTGAGACCCCAGCGGAGCCGAGGCTGAGCAGAGCTGTGTTGAAGGGTGCAGGGACTGAGCTGCACTGCTGTAACTCAGCAGAGAAATGCTTGGATCCACCTATACCAAGGAAAAGGCACCTCAGGGCTGGAATTTGCTGCCGTGGAGGAAGCCATGCTCCAGTGGCTGACTGGCCTGGGCTGGCACCCAGAAGGCAGATGGTAGCACGTGGGAGGAGCTGAGCAGAATTTGCTCCCCTTGGGGCTTTCCAGAGCCGCTCAGGTGAAGGCAGGTGAAAGCTGGGTGCCTGGGGCCATTCTGGAGGAGGGATGCAATTTGGTCAGCTGTGCCAGATTGGGAGTGCCTGCCTAACGTTTGCCCTTCCGCCCCCAGGAACCAGCTTGGGTGTTCAGGGATCCTGCGCTGTGTCCCCATTCCCAGCCCACCTCTTGAGCCTTCTTGCTGTCCCTTTGCCAGCTTGGTGGCAGTGGAGAAAGCCTCCTCCCAGTGGATGTGTGGGTCAGGAGGGCCCTCTAGCTGCCTCACCCCACCAGAGACCTTGCTAGCAATATTAGCCGGGGCAGCTAAAGCCAGGGCTGGACTGGGACAGGTGGGTCACTGAGTGGCCTGGAGCGATGCTCTCTGACCTCGCTGGTCCCTGGGGCAAGGGGTGACGGTGTCTCACTGTGCTTTCCCCTAGGAGCTACTGCGCCTACGTGGTGCAGCGCAACGTGACGTGCACGCTGCAGGACGGGGCCGAGAGCTACGTCAAGGCCGAGTACCACAAGTGCAGCTGGGGACCCAAGTGCCCCGGCAAAGTGCTGTGAGTACCCACAGGGCGCTGGCTGCCAGGGGGACGGGGGCCACCGCTCACTTCCTTGGGGCCCTTCCCCGGCTTCAGATCACAGCAACCCTCATGGCCCCAGTGGGACAGCGGGAAAGGGCACTAACACCCCGGGCAACCCTGTACTTGACTTTTGGCCATGAGAGAGGGAGTCCTGTCTCACCGGAAATAAATCAGTGATGTTTCCATGGGAAGCAAGGGTGCGTGGAGCTGTGGAGGGGAGCGGTTTGTCAGAGAAGTCCAGTTTGGCAGAGAGATAGCAGCTAGGTGAGAGAGTGAGAGGAAAAGGAAATGGAGTCAGTGGTTGGGGCAGGCTGAGGGCTTCCTCCCCCAGGAAAATATTTACAAAATTTTCTGCCACCTAATAAATGCTGCAGGGAAACACCCCGCTGGGCAGGAGCCGGGCAACGGTGGACACTAGGGCTTTGTGCCTCACCACGAGCCCTGGCCTAGGATGCTGCTCTGTGCTGAAACACAGCACTCCCCCATCCTCCCTGAGCCTGCTGCGAGCAGCAGAGCCAAGCCCCAAGGCAAATGGGGCTGAAAGGTGCTTTCATCAGAGCTGGCAGGGCTCGCCATGTACCGACAGCGCGGCGGGCTCAGCGCGTGGCCCGGCCTGGCAGAGAAGGGTTGTCGTGCTCGCTCACCAACTTATTCTTTCCTTGCTCTCACCATGAGCGTTTTTCCAGTATTTGGGTATTTTGGACATCCTGCAGCCGCCAGTTCCTGTAGAAGAGATCCACAAAGCATCTCCCAGGTCCATCGTTATCACCGCTTGCCCGCAGCGCCTGTGGGAATGGACCCAGACCAACTGCCTGCAGAGCGGCCGAATGAGCTAAAGAAGAGGTCTGCCCTGAATTGCAGTGGAGAGATGGCAGCTGGCCGAGGAGGTGGCGCAGCAGGAAGGACACCGTGCAGGGCTGCTCTGGTGGGGACCATGGGAAGTCCAGTGCTCTGACCTCGCAACCAGCCCCCCAGGCGCTGCTGTGCCCAGCTCCTTGGTGCTGCCCGGCCCCTCTCCAGCTCCTCAAACAAATGCTGGTGCAAAAACTGGGTGTTTCCAGAAAGGCACTGCACCTACCCACTGAACTTTCTGCTCAGCATGGGAGACTGTGTCCACACACGAGGGGGAGACATGGTTTTTCCAGGCACTTTGGGCCTTTAGCAAACATTTGTGCAGCTGCAATAAATGCTTCCCCTCACTGCTGTTTGGAGAAGGGTACAGAGGTGCCAAAGGGCTCTCGGTTCTCGTGCAAAGGTGGTGGGACATGAAGAAGATGCCCTGTCCTCTGGCTGCCGTGCTCCCCCTTTGTTTGCAGCCTGGGCTCTGCCAGGAGCAAGGGAGCTCCAGGCTGCAGCCCAGATGGCTGAGAAGAGGCTGGGACCAGTCTTGTTATTGACAATGGCTGGGTTCAGCAGTTTCCTGCTTTTTGTGCATGCCATGACATTTCCAAGCAGATTTCTACACACTAAGAAAGAACGAAAGACCATAGAAACTTGGAAGCTTCTGTGAGGAGGAAAAACAAAAAGAAGAGCTAGTTTTTCCAGCTACTGCATCCACCTTTTTTTTTTTTTTTCTTCTTTTTCTTACTCCAGTGGTGAGCAGAGGGTAGCTTCCAGGACAGCAAGGTGCTCTGGCAGCTCACCAGAAGGACATGAGAGCAATGGTCCTCAGTGCTAACTGCTTTTTGAAGCTTGGTGTTTCCAAGAAGACAAAATCACCAACCCCACTGTCCCATAGCATGCTGAAGGCAGCCAAGCCACAGCCAGCTTTCTCCTCCTTGCAAAGACAGGGCTGGTGGAAATACCTTTACTTGAACTGGGCACACTGCCTGGCCATGCACTGATGCACAGAGGAATCTGCCTGTGCAGCCTGGGCCATGTTTTCTCTCCTTTCTCATCTTTGAGGTTTTTGCCACCAGAAACTAGAGTGCAGCAGTTCTCAGCAGCACCTCAAACCCTGCAGGAGCTTTGGCTTGCTCATGCGTGGGGGTGGATGAGTGTTAAGTGAAGGACTGCAATGCTGGTCTCTGGAGGTGTGCCCAGCCCGTGCCATGTCTTGCAGCACCAAAATCTGCTGGGTATTTTGCGACAAGAAAAGCCACTTCCTCTGGTGCTTGGTAGATGAATAACATGTTTCCCTTTCACCACAGTGTGAAGAGTGGGGAGTTACTAGACCTCAGCGAAGGGGCAGGTTTGAAGACCAACCCAAAATCAGCAGAAAAAGTTCTGGCTGAAGCAAGCTATCTGAAAAACATCCCTTGTCTTTGGGAAAGTGTCAATGTTGAGAAATCTCAAAGTGATTCAAAGGATGGAGGATTTTGGTTTGATTTCTCATCTTGCCCTCCCTGGCAGTTTATTTCCCCATGTTACGTACCAGCGTAGTCATATATGCTTGGTATTACACTCATGCCGGGGAAGCAGCATTGCTGAGAGGCTGCAGCCTGGGGCAGAGGCATGGAGGGAACCTCGGGGTGCAGACCCACATCCCGCCCAAGCTGTCAGATAGCTGCGAGTGCTTTACTGCACTTCTCTATACCTGTGTCTATACAGCAAGGACGTTTGTGCCAATCTCCTCCGAGGCCTTCCGCTGAGCGTGCTGGAGAAGAGCAAGGGCCGAATTGTGCGTGTTTTTACAAAACAACAAACTTACTTCAGGATTTTTAAGCCCCTTGGTAAATTTAGACTGGAAATTTCCAAAAGCAGCTTCAAAACATTGGCATTTGAGAGGTGGCAAAAAAAAAAAAAAAAAGTGCTGTTTTCAGCTCTACATAACTCAGCTTGGGTGGTGGTGGGGAGCACAGGTGCTGGCTATGGCCTGTCCAATCTCTGCCCATGTGAGGGCTCTAGATGCCTTGTGGGAAAGCAACTCAGAAGAGCTGGGAACAGCTGAGTCTTCCCTGTGGAAATGGGGCTACTGCCCTCCTTAGAGCTAGAGCAGAAAGGGAGGGACTTAGCGTCGCACTGAGCATGGAGGTGGGCACCAGCCTTGCGTGTTGCGTTTGGAAGTGGGTAGTGCCCCAATCAGGGCCTGATAAACTCTGTTCACCTCATAATGCAGCCCTGCTTGGGGACAGTAGGGCAGAGATGGTGAGAAGTAGAGAGGAAGTACTTTTCCAAAGATATTTCAGCCCTCCCAGAGATCTCAGGGCAAGAGTAGAGTTGAGAAGAGGATTTTTACCCCCAGGAGATGCTCAGGTCAATCCAAGCTGTAGAATGCACCCACAAGCTAGCATCCAGCACTAGCAAACTGTTCCAAACTAGCAGGAGGAGTTCCAGGTTAAAAAAAAAAAAAAAAAGAAGCAGCTACTAACAAGCCTTCTGCTCAAAAAACCCACAAATATTTAGGTGATGGCTCTGCACAGGTGCTCTCTCCTCACACCCCCATGGTATTTCTCAGTCTTGTCTAGTTCCATTATCAACTTGTTGGAAAGAATTCCTACCCTTGCTGTGTGCTATCATGCCTGGCAGCTCCTGGTCCAGCCCTGGAAAAGGTGGGCTGATATTTCTGGAGTGCCGGTTAATGAACCGTGTTCCCCAGAAATGTATTGCTGATGCTACACTGTGCAGTGGTGCAGAAAGAGCTCTTTGAGGAGGTGGGTAGTGCTCTGCTGATGAAGCACTCGAGTCTCAGCCACCTTTTCCACGGTGCCTGGTTGTGCACAGGTGACATGACCCATGGCCGCTCTCTTCTCTATTGCTTGCAGTCTAGGTTGTCTCTCTCTAAACTGTCTTCTCTTCCTTCTCTCTCCTGGAAAGGTACCGCACCTTCTTCAGACCCAAATACAAGATTGGCTACAAGACAGTGACTGAGCTGGCCTGGAGGTGCTGCCCAGGCCTCATGGGAGAAGGATGCCATGATAGCCCGACCGACCAACCTGGCCTCCTACCCCAACATCCCAGCCCTAAAATGCCTCCTGGGCAAAAGATGTTTCCACTCCCTAGGGTTCCTCCCCATCCGAAAAGCCACCCTGACCTGTTCCCAGGACCAAAGAAGAATCCATATGGTGAGACCCTCTCATGCTTCTCAAATCTCTAGGTTATGCCAGGAAAGCCTCCTCCACAGTCCTTGGTCACAAGCCTCCCCATTCCTTCTGTTCCAACACAGAGGACAAATTTGGCAAGCCTTCAGTTAGTGGCCTGCTTCCTGATCAGAGAAATGGCATTTCATTAGCTTGAGGATCACTACTTTTTTTTTTTTAAATCTAGTTTGTCTTAAAATGCACCACTTCAAAATTGCCTTTCCTCATTGCTTTAAAGCATTTCTCCATTAATCTTAGGGAAGCTAGAGTGTGTCTCAAGACAAAGCTTCCCCAGGCTGTTCTCATCACCTGCTCTAGAACTTGGGAACAGAGGACCTGATCCCTCACAGTGAAAGGAAGAGGATTTTCCCTGTCACCTTGAGACTGTTGTCATTAGGGACATTAGGGGAAAAGGAGGAAGAGGGGTTGATATTTGGGTGAAATGGCAACAAGAGGGAGGCAGGAGCTAATGTTAATTAGTATGGAAAAGGACCCAAATCAAGAAGATAACACAGGAAGGACGCTAAAGGTACGCCAGCCCTGACTTTCCTCTCTTTATTTCTTTTCCTGTGCAGGCAGGAAGTTGCCTGGCCTTTTTGGAGACCGCCTGGATCGACTGGAAGAAGAGGTGAGGCGCCTCTCCCAGGCCTATGACAGTCTGCACACCATGGTGAGCGGCCTGGGTGACCGCCTGCGGCTGGCTATCCGGGAGGACACCACCAAGATGATTGGGTCCCTGATGAACAGCCCAGGTGTGCCTGACTCAACGGTGGGCTTTGGCATCATTCCTGATGGCCTGGTGGATGTAGCAGACAAGGCTGACATCACTGCATACCCTCCTGTGGGGGAGATCCTGACCAAAGTGACAGAGGTGAGTGACGTGCTGAAAACCAAGGCAGACTTGCTGCACGAGGTTCGTGGCATGGTCCTGGACCACGACGGGCAGATCAAGCACCTGCTGGAGTCATCCCGGCCCTCACCCCTCACCTCCATTGACCTCCTGGAGGAGTATGTGGACACTCGACTGAGCAACCTGCGTGGAGAGCTGCTTGATGGTTTTGAGAAGAAGCTGGGGAAGATCCAGACCACGTGTGACTTCCGGATCCAAGAAGTGCAACAGCAGTGTGAGGAGGAGAAAGCTGCCAACCTGCTGCTGCAGCAAACTCTGGATGGGAAGGAGTTAGAGATCAAGAAAGAGATTTCCCAGCTGGAGACCCAGATCCAAGGGCTGACGGTGGTGGAAAGCTGTTGCAGCAACCTGGACTACCTCACTGATCGTATGAACATCCTGGAGAAAGGTCTGCACAGCATCTCTGAGTCTCAGAAAAACTTGCACTCACGGCTGGATGGAGAAGTCTCCACTGTCACCCTAGAAAACCTCTTTGAAGGGCGCTTTGAGGACCTGGAAGCCAGGCTCAATGCTACAGAGAGGGAAACAGGGAGCTGCTGCTCCAGTATAGAGGACAGCATGCGAGGCATTGTGGTAGCAGAGGTGGATGGCATGAGGACTGCCTTTGGAGACAAAATGCAGACCTTGGAGGACAGATTCACGACCGTTATGGGAGAGCTGAACAACATCAGTGCTCCTGTGGGCATGGATGGAGCAGTGGTGCCTGTGCTGGAGGGAGAGCTTGCTAGCATAAGGAAGCATACGGACGAGAGATTGGAGGTGTTGCAGAATCGCCTCATCACGCTGGAAAGCACTTGTTCCCTGGGCTGCACCTCTGCTTCCAAAGATGTGGAGACCTTCCGGACAGAGATTGAAGACTGCCAGAACAAGAACCAGGACCTGCTCCTCCGGATGGACAGCAACTACGACCTCCTCAGCAAGCTGAATGCCACCATTCTGGAGATCCAGCGGCGAATAGAGGAAGAAGCATCAGGAGGTTTGCAAGGGGAGATCACCTTGCTAAAGATCAACCTGAATACCATGAGCAAGTCTCTGACAGGGCTCAAGGACTCAGTCTCCCAGTACTCAGACACTGTGTCACACGTCAACTCTTCACTGGATGAGCATGAGCGAAAGATCGAGGACGAGGTCCACTCCATCCAGGAGAAAGTCAGCGACCAAGGCTCCCAGCTGTTCTTCAGCAATCGGCGTGTCCTGAACCTGAAAGGAGACTTGGAGCGACTCAAAGCCAGGATTGTCAGTGATCTGAGCTCCTGCAAAAACGTGGCCCATGACCTGCAGCAGGAGATCTCTCACTTCGACGACCGGGTGTCCCGAGTGGAGAGCGTCTGTGGCAGGCTGGGTACCGTCACGGGAAGCTTGGATGTCATCAGGGACGAACTGGAGAAACACACAGGCAGTCTGTGGGACTACATGGACCATATGAACAGGACCCTGGCTGCCCACTCTCAGGAAATAACAGGACTGAAGGACAACCTGCTTGACTGCCAAGCCAAAGTTTCTGAGCTGGCGGAGCAGGTCAGCCACTTGGAGGAGCAGGCAGATGGAAAGCAGCATTAGCCATCCTGAAACTTGCTTCTTTTTTTTCTCCTCGTCCTGCCTTGAAGAACAGAATTAACTTATATCATACAGACTTACTCCAATGTGACAACAGTTCTTTGGATATTTTTTTAATGAAAATATAAATTAAAAGCTGCTACAACCTCTTCTTCCCCATCCCCCTTTTTTTTAAAACTTACCAGCCCTCCTTTTCCCTTGCCATTACCGTACTTCCCTCCTGATGTTTAGCAGCTGTACTGACACTGTGTAGCAAGGTGCCTGCCTCTGTAACTGGGGGTATTGTTTTGGCTTCTGGACTGATGACTCCAGAAGGGCAATTCAAGAGGAAGCGGGAGGGGGGAATTTTTTTTTTTTTTTTGGATTTATCTCTTCTTGAAGAATAAAACCCTGTAGTTGTGTTGTGAGTTGAGGAATAGAGTTTCTCTGGCCTAAAGACCACCTGCATCTTAATCCAGAGAGTAAAGAGAGCCAGGGCTCCTTATAGGCAGCAAAACTTGCGACAGGAATTACGGATTTCAAAGACAACAAGTATTCGCACATCCCCCTGGACTGTATTCCCCTCTTCGAGATGTCAGCCCTCCTTGTGTAAGGTAAATCTGTTTATACACTTCATGCAAATGCACATGCTCTACAGAGCATATGAGGATATGCATTAGGAAAACATATAGTTTGAACAATCCACTGTCATGGTGCTTGTCTGATTGCAAAGTTTTTCTTGGTGTTCCCCCTTTCCCTTGCCATATTTTGAAAAACCACACTGAGCAGTTAACGACTGCCACAGCGGCATTTGCAGGAAGGCCACGCAGTGCCTTGGCGGTGCTGTGCTTTGTGATCCCATTGTACTTTGCTCTCTGGTTGCACCTGGGACTGGCACAAAGGGTTACGAAAAGCTTGTGTCTTCCCTGATGAACCACAGCCCTTTGCATGTTACTGAAGACACGTGTCTGTAGATGCCTGAAGAACAGTCCTGCCCTCCAGCTCTGGCACTCTTCTGTTTTATTGCTTAAACTGTGAAGATGGGTTCCCTTGTGTCCTTGTGGGGAAGGTGAGGTCCAGCTCTGAGAGGGAGGAGGCACCAGTTCTGCAGGGAGTCATAGCATTTCCCTTTCCAGCAGCACAGGAGCACAAGCCTGCTTCCTCCTCGCATTCATCTGCTAACGCTGCCCAGGAACCCACTCCCTTAGCAAGCGCCAAGGAAGAGGAGGAGGAAGGTAGGGATCCCTCACAGCATCTCTGAGAAGCGAGCCAGGACATGTCCTTGGCTCAGCCATGGGGAAGGGTTGACCCCCCCCACTCGGGGGCCTGAGCCAGGCTGCAGGAGGTACAAGAGACCTGGGTGATTTGCCCAATGTCACTCTGGTTTCCCATGAAAACACAGACTAGAAAAGGCCATACAAGCTCCTGAGTGACTCCAGATTCACCGTGTGGATCTGGTGCCCCTCCCGCATAGCCGTTCCCCACAAAATCCACCTCCTCAGAGAGGCCAGGCATGGGCCTCCTCTGCTGTTCAGCCTGTAGGGACTTTATTATCAGAAAGGATGAAGAGGAAATGAAAGATCCTCCATGACCAGCTCTGGCACTTTATAGCAGAGGAATACGTTTTTCTGTGGGCTCTGCACGGCAACTAACTGAGCCTTTCACAGCAGCTAGCCTTCAGCCCTGCTGCTGCCTTGCTATGCGTCCTTGCTCTTCCCCACCGTGGTTTCCCGAGTCAGGACAAACGGTGGAAGTAGTAAGCACCACACAGCCTGCTGCATCCACCCGGGAGCTGCTCTCTGCTTACAAGGCAGCAGCAATGCCCAGCTGAGGGGCAACAGGGACAACTTTTCTCCTCCATCCCATCCCAGCTGAGTTAGCTCCTTCAAACAGAAGCTCCAAGGCTGGAAGGAACCACAAGGATCACCAAGTCCTGCTGGCCATGTCGTGTTACCCTGATACGGTAGAAACGTTTTCTCCTGCTACGCAAGCTTGCAGCATCCAGCTGGCAGTACGAGCAGACCAAACCTTCCACCACACTTTTACCACCTGTCTGCTTGGACTGAGGGATGCTCACAGCGACAAAATCCACTTGCTCTACTCCTTGCTGATTTGGGGCAAGGCTGCCACTGCTGAGACTCTTGTTCAGCTGAGGGAGGAAGGAGCTGAGGAGCAATATCCAGCTGCCTTTGGCCATCCCAAAGAAACTGCTGTTAGAGCACAAAGACAGTTTCAGCCCCAGCCAAAGAAGAGGGTTTCAAGCCAGCCCTTGGTCCTGTTTAATGGTCCAGGGAGCCCTCTCCCCTCCTGCCCTAGCCAACCTCCATATCTTGTCACAAGAGGGAGAAAAAGGGCTGCAGCAACCAAAGAGGAAAAACTAACCAAGCACCAGGCTAATGGTATTTCCAGGCAGGCTAGTAAGCCACAGCTTGGTTTAGAGAACAGCTGAATAAGAACAGCTCCCTCCAGCACAGAGGGAGCTGCGACTGTTGGTAACAAAGCTAGGACAGGAGAAGCAAGGAAGAAATCCACCTTCCAGAAAATGGTGCTATGTTGGACTGTTCCTGCCTAGTCACTTGAAGATATGGACAGTTTGTATGTCAGTTCCCAGCTATTCATGCTCCAAAAAGTGAAATGAACTTTGTGTAAAATAGGGCATTTGCTGCTTGCAAAGAGGGAAGGATACTGGCCTTGTGGTTGTTCTTGCACTGGGCAGATTTCTGAGGGGGCTGGCGACTGATCCTGTTAAGAGGCTGTGTTTTATTGGTTTTAAAACCTTGTACATTTGTTCAGATTTTAAAAGGTGAAAGATTGTTTGTACCGGAAAGGAAAATAAAATATTTCTTGCTGAGGTTTCCAGCATCAAAATGATGTGTGTAGCTTTAAAGAAAAAAAAAATAAAAAAGCCTAACACCAGAATTGTGCTAAGACAGGGAGCTAGAGTTAAAACACAGACTATTTAAGAGAGGAAGAGAGGGCAGGAGACCAGAAGTTATTTACGCTCACATGCCATGGTCAGGGAAGGGAGAAGCTGGATACCAGACTAGAGGAAGACACCCAGCAGTGCTCCTGCCTGCATTTTTGTTTTAGATAGTTACAGCTAAGTGCTCCCAGAGCAGGAGGACCAGGTTGTCTGAACGCACAGCTGCCTGCATGGTGATGCCAACAGCAAGGGTTTGGAGAAGTTCCCCAGGCAGCATATGGAGAGGCTGGCTGAGGCCTGACAAAACTCAGCTTCAGGACAGCAAAACTGTGTTCTCCTTGCACTTTCCAACACATGTGCATAGGAACAAGTTCCTTTCCTGGCACAGGGAACAGGCAGGATGCAGGCAGAGGATATTTACCCCTCCATGCCCACACTTGTAAGCCAGGGTTTGTCTCCTGTATCAAGTCAGCTTTCCGGCTTTAACTGAAGGTGGGAGGTAGGAAAGTCCTTTTCTAAGCTGCTCCACAGACCCAGGAAGCTGCAGGTCTCATCTCCACCAAGATTAGCCCCCTTGACAGAGCACTTCATGGGGATAAGCCCACCCACATTTGTGAAAGGACTTGGGAGTCTGGCTCCCCACTTCCATGCACAGGGCTACAGTGAGCAAAAGGCAGCCTAGATCAAGGCACTGTTTATTCATGCTATTAGTGAAGAGCACTCAAACCTTGACTGCTTCCAGCCACCTTCATGAGTTAAGCCACATGACAGCTTCACTCCATCAGCTACCAAACTGTAGGTAGATGGACTGTCTGGGAACAGCAGTCAAACCGGAGGTAGCAATAGCTATGCTAGAGGCCTATCAATAAATAAAACAGTGATCCACCACTTTAAAAATAGCCATGCTTTAAACATGTTAAGAACCTTAAGAAAACACCTAGCTTATAGGAAATGTCAATTTAGTAAATGAATATTTCTAAAGTGAGAGTTCCCCTTACCCCCATTTTGCCCCTTGAGAAGGAGTGTTTCTAGTGCGGAACACGACCCATATCAGAAGTGCAAAATGCCTGAGCAGCATATGGGGGGAGAAGATGCATCTGTTGCATCCAGTCCTGGCCTATCCTTATCCTCATGAGAGTGTCCTTGGTCTGGTCTCCACAGGCAGCAGTGTCAGGAGAAGTCTTCCAAGTCAATGACAGGCAGTGGAGATCTCCAGTAGGTGAAGTAGCTGTATTCTGGACACGCCAGAGCAATGTTCCCATTCTGCCCTAGGGGAGGAAAGATCAGTTCCACCAGCTCCGACAGCCGCTCGTACCTAAGGAGATAAGAAAGGAATTGCAGCGGTAATGGACAAAAAGGGACTTGAGGCAACCTCAATTGCAGGGGCCTTGCAACTGGGTAGTCAAGACCTCCAAGCTCATGCTAGCGTTACAGCATGCACTAGTCCATCCTCAGCCATGTAATCATGGCCCAGCACTGCCATCAGAAATCCTCTCAGCAGCCTGCTTGGCTGGCTGGCTGGGAAACTGTCTAGTGTAACTCAGAGTTTTGTTTATTTTTTTCTCCCAAGAGACTCTTCCTTGGGTTAAATCTAGGTTAACCCAAAAGCGCTAAGGAGCATGCAGGCAGCTTACGTTGACTTGTGGTTCTTGGTGAGCTCCTGGATCAGCTCTCCCTTGGGGTTGACAGTGAATATGTGACTCTCCGGCAGTCCCACTTGCTTGTAAGCATACACGTCCTGCCAAGGGAAGGTCAATAAGAAGCGTGAGAGCTGCTGAAACGTGCCAGTCCCCCTGCCCCAGCCAGCACCCTCCCCTTTATCTCCAGGGGACCCACTCACATTGACTCTGTTCCCAAAGGCTGCGAAGAAGGGCTGCTTTGTGGTAAATAGGTTTTGAATGTCCATCAAGCAGGCGATCTTGAACACCTCTGGCTTCTTCTCAATCACCTCCCTGCAGCACAAAGTACACGCATGGAGCAGAGGTCAGAGCAGCATCACCAGGCCAGGACTGCAGACAGCCAGGCCATTTGGGACTCTAAGAAGAGGTTTTAAAGGGCAACAGAAACCCCACATATTGCAAGAGCTTCACCACAAAGCTTCAGGGAGGACAGGCCCAGTTCCTCCTGCAGCCATCCATGAAAGGCATCCAGCACCACGTAGGCCAGACGCAGCTTAAGGCTGTGACACCCCTCAGCTTCGAGGCTGGGGGAGGGGGAAGTGCCATCACCGTGGGCACAGGAAGGTGCAGGGCTGGGGATAGAGAGAGAAAAAGGTACCTGTGGAAGGCAGAGAAGAGGCTGCTGGGGGCAAGCAGGATGGGACCCTTGGGAAGGGCACAGCCTTGCTCATTGACCCATTTCAGGTAGCCTTTGGTGATGTGCGCCATGCCGATCGCTCTTGCTGAGCAATAGAGGAACTTGTAGCCATTGCTAGAGAGAGTACAAGGAACCCCTCAGAGCTGTGCTCTGGACATGGCACTCTCCAATACCTTTTGCCCCTCACCTGAGGGCAGAGGGTGAAACTGAATGCCTGGTCTAACCCAAATCATCTTTACCCCTTCAAGAAACAGGATGGCTTCACAAGTGGTGTAGCTTGTTTGCTCATCGGAAACCCAGAAGCGTCTTTATCCTTGCTGTGGCGAAGCCTGAAGAACAGAGGTGAAGAGGGGCCCTGTGCTTTCTTCCAGGTCCTTCCTAGCAGCATCACTCCTGCTGTAAGGTGTCTTTCACTACTGAGTGTCCCACAGCTACCTCCTGCCATTTGCATGGACCTCTGCTGTGCATCTGGACATTGACTCCTAGGCCAGCATATAATAGCACCTTTGTCACATCCTTATGGACTCAGTGCAGCTTATGGGGAGCTGAACATGGTCCCTACGGTCGCATCAAGCTGCTAGCGTTGCTCTATCAGCAGCTCAGGCAGGATGGTACCGCACTCTTGCGGAATCAGAGATTATAATAGATGAGGTGCAGGTAAAGGCAGGCCCCAGCTGTGCGCATCCGTGGCTCCCAGGTATGGCACCACAGAGGGACTGAGCCCAGCTTCACCTCCCAGCACCGTGGGGAACGGAATAAAGAAGCCCCGTTTCCACATTAAGCCTGGCTGAACGAACAATGGGCCAACAGTGCCTCTTAGTGGCCAGAGATGCCAGGTCAAAGGGACAGACCTGAACCCTAGGCTCCTGCACACGCTGCTACCCGCAGCCACAGGGACTGAATAGCAGCGAGAGTGAGATGGGACAGCATCAGATCTCAAGGCAGGTTTATCTCCCGGAGGAGGGGAAATACCATAAATAGCTGGGTGCCTATAAAGGCAACTGCCACTGATTAAGGAGACTGGAAATGTACTGTTGTACTGCAAGTCAAAGGAATTGGGCAGAGCTAGTGGTCCCACACACACTTTCTTGTCTGATCTCAACCTTCACAGCTGCATCTTCAGCACTCAGCTATCTCCTGCTTCTCACTTGCCAAAGCCCCATTGACAACCCCTCCTGCCCAGCCACATCCCCAAGGAAGCTACTGCAAGTGTATGCTCCCAGCATCTTGGGGGAAGGCCCTGCCCACACAGCTGTAGGCCTCACCCCATGCTCAGGTCCTCTAGATCTGAGCGGGACATGAGCAGACCAGCAATGGTGCAAATATGAGTTAGCAGCAATGGTGCAAATATGAGTTAGCAGCAATGGTGCAAGTGACAAGAGGGTCAGGCAGGAAGAAGCAATAAGCTTTGAACGAGCAAACAGTAAAATTTGCTGCTACAGTAGAGCTTCTCTGCTTGGCACATGAGCTTTCCAGACAACTCTGCCAACAGCAGGTACCCACAGAACACAACTGCCTTCTTTTACCACGTCCTCCATGCTTGGATTGCAATGACAGAAGATTGAGGGAGACTTGGACTATGCATGCCACACTGCTGACAACAGGGCAGCTCACTCAAGTATCTACAGTAAAAGCCCCCTGCCTTCTTCCCCCAGCCCCAGCATCCCAGACAGCACAGCAAGCATTAGACATCATTCACTACACTGACAGCAGAAAACAAGGGCCAGTTTGGCCATCCTCCATGAGTGAGGAGCCCTTACTCTGGCTCCCAGACCTTGGCACTAGGCCTCTTCTCCACCACCCTCCTGCCTCCCCTCAGCCTCAGGGTGCTAGTCAACCTGATACCTACAGGTGGATTTTGTGGAAGAGCTTAGCAACCCCATGATGAGTCCAGTCTTTTCCCAAATGTGGCAAAATGTGCCCCAGAGCATCTGACCTAGAAGGAAAGGGAGAAGCTGTTAAGCCAGTCCAGCCTGGTGAGTATCCAGAATGCAATGGGGTGGGTGCCCTCCTGGCTGGTTATGCAAGCCGTGAAAGGACCCTTTCCCCTAATGAGGGCAATACAGACAGAGGGAGGGAGAAGGACGCTTTACTTGGTGATGGTGCCATCAATGTCTGAGATCACCACCTTGTCGTCCCAGTTCCACAGGTAGATGGTGCCCTCACAGCAGCATGTACCCTGATACTGAGTTGTCACACTGAACGCCACCTCGTTGGGGCCATCCTGCAGGTTCAGCCTCTCCTGCAGCAGAGGGGAAACATGCCAGGGAGATGTGACACCACTACAATATGGGGGAAAATAGTTTTTTATGGCTCAGCCAGAAAAATAAGACTCTCTTAAGCAGAGTCCTCAAACACGATACACAAGCATCAACTCACTGACAGTCCAAAGCCCAAAGGCTGAGACTGTCACTTGGCCAGGCCACAGAGGCCCCAGGGCTTTAAGAGGGAGGCCACCTAGGGCAATATATTTGGAAGCCCTATAAAAACATAGGGTCAGGAGTACAGAGAGTGCTATGGAGAAGGCTGTGTCCCCTCCACACAGAGAGACACCAGTGAAGGAGAGAGTACATACAATTTGTTTGGAGGAGAGCCGCAAAGATTTCTTGTAGGTCGGCAGAGATTTCTGTGCTGAGGCATCCTTTGTTAAAGGGTTTCCAGAATCCAGGGGCTCGTCATCACTGGACGATACCTCCTCCTCCTGCCTACAAGGAAGGAAAGGGCCTGTCTGCTCTTCTGTGCAGGCCACAGCTCTCCCCATGAAAGCAAGAGAGAGATCTGGAGGGGATCCAGAAGGAGAACTCGCATGCCTGGCCGTGAAGGGTCTTGCTTTGACTGGGGTCAGCCAGAGCGTTAACAGAGCTTTCTGCCCTCGTATTCCCAAATCCATTCAGTATAACTGTCCATTTAAGAGTCTCTTAAAGGCAACCCTCCTGCCCTATCTAGAGCCTAGGGGTGGGAAGGAGGCACTCACCTCTGCTGAGGTGAGTCTGGCTGCAGTATCCCTGCGTCAGCCTTCCCCAGCCTCGACTGTGGCTGCAAACAGAGGGACATTGTTAGCACTTGGCTGCAGAGGAACTTGAGGGCAGCAGCAGAGACCACTTTGCTTCACTGGCACTTGGAAAAGTGATAACAAAAAAAGCTGTGGCAATGCACCCCTGTTCCTTCACAGGGGTGGTGCCATATGGAAGAACCACCGTATCCCAGTGCCTTGGCAGACAGAGCAGGGAGAAGAACGAGCCAACCCCAGCTGGATCTGCAAGGCAGGTCAGCCCGTAGGTATACTTGAACTGCGGGTGGTTGCAGGAAGCCCAGAGAGGCCTCGGCACTGCCAGGGCAATCTGCTCTGCGCAGTGCTGAGCCTCCACGTGCAGGCACATGTTGGCGTTGTCCTGCTGCTCAGGCATTTACAGACCTGAGGGGACCAGCCACCTGCAGAAGATGATTTGCTACCAGGTACCTCTGGCCTCTCCCACACTCAGCCTCAGGTCAGCCCCAAGACCCTGCTGTTCTCCTCCCTCCCCGCACCTGCTGGCGGTCAGAACAACTCCTGTCCCCAGGGACAGGGCTGTCACAGCCACTACTAGGAACACACCTCCTCTTTGGGCAGTTCTCGCCTTCTCCAGGAGAACCACCACCTGCTGCCTTTCTTGGGCATCTTCTCCTTCACTAGTCGGTTGACAGTGCTCTGTGAACGTGGCAGAACATTGAAAGAAATCATTCCTCAGCACAGAGATGCTAAGCTGTCCAACAGCCTAAAGGAAACCCTTGCCCAGGCAGATTTTTCTTTGCAAAATCATTTACAGGGCAAGATACGTGCAACTCTCCTGTCATGTCATGAACAGAGATGATTTGAGGGGAATGGTACCACAACTTGCTCCCTTGATGCAGCTTGAAAAAAAACATCTCAAGGCCTTATTCCATGCAGTCCCAGCCAGTTCACAGAGCCCTGGGGCAGGCCCATGCATGTCCCAAATCCTCTCAGATCCCCAAGTAATGTGACTCCTGCCAGCCCTTGCACAGACATAACCCTCAAAATAGGTCATTTTTGACAAGGAAGCGTCTGCTTTCCAGGCTTTAGTGGAACCCAGGTACTCAAAAGCCAGGCCGTACCTACTGCCAAGGAAGGGAGGGACCTTGCGGTTTGTAGGTTAGAGCAACCCTCAGCTCTGTCCCAGACCACTTGCAAAGCACCAGAGGAGCAGCTTGGCCCCACTGCACTCTTGAAGCCCCACTGGCAAGCATGGGGAGCAAGTGTGTTGTGCCACTCACCTCAGGAATGTTCCTCCGGAAGGCCTGCAGGGAGAGGACCATGGGAGCAGCCACTGCCCAGTTATAATACCTAGAACAAGCAAGAAGGATGGAAATAACAGTACACAGACTGCTCAGTCTTGAGAGGGCAGCAGGGAGGAGATGAGGCAGAGCATCTCCATGCAATCCAGATAGCAGAAGAGATCCAGAAGATCCCCTATGTTCTCTTGGGAATATAAGGAGAAGTCATAGTTTGGCTATAGCTCTTTCCACCAGCAAGGCAGTTGGCATGGCCTCTTTCGTCTAGAGCATCCCTCAGGCATTTGATCATTACATGCAGAAAACAAGACAGACCACGTACTGCTGACAGGGCTTGTGAGCAAACACACTTTCCAGGGTGGGAGGACAGAAGGAAGAGTTGTGTGCAAGTCTGGATGCCAGCCAGGGCAGCACAGTACCACTTCCTGGAGCCACAAAGTCCATTTTCAGATCACTGTTCTACAGCATGGCTGTAAAGCGCCTGCCCATAGCTATGATATCATGATATTTGCCTCAGATGGAGAAACATTTCTACAGGAGCATTTCTGTAGAGAGAGGAAAAAGAGGGCCACACTGGTTATCTTGGGATAAAATAGGGAGGAAGAGCAGGTCACTCACTTCTTGTTGAGCAGAATCACCAAGTTTGGATCATCAAGCATTCCTGGATTCTCAGCAAACTCCTGGTAGGAGATGATGTGCTCCATGAACTTCTCTGATGGGATAGAAGCTATGTCATGCCACTGGTGTACCCAACAGGTTTTGCAATAAGCAAAATTCCCCTCATACCTACCGTGAGAGATCTGCCTGCTGCCCCCAAGGCCTCCACACAGTGACAGTGCAATTGCAGGCATCAAATCCGAGTCAGAGTCCACAGGGCTCTCGGCAGGCAAATCAGACAGCAGCTGGACACACAGAGGGTTGCTGGGGTCAGCCACAGGCTTTGGACTCTGCTCTGTGTCACTACCAGCAAGAGAAGAAACAGCAGCAGCATCAGGTAATAGCTTTAGGTGCACCCGAGATCCTTTGGTGTATAAAAAAAAGTTTGCTTGAGAAGGTCTGAGCTTGGCTCGTTTGGGCCTCCATACCTCCCGGAGAAACGGAGAGCCACCTGTTCTTCGTCTAGTCTGCTGAGGTCTTCCATGTAAACATCACTGGGACCCAGGTGAGGACTTCTTTTTATGGATCCTCGATGCACAAACAAAAGGGAGAGAGCTTGGTTGAATTGCCTTTCCAGCCTCTCAGGATCCAACAAGAAAGCTAACAGCATTTTCTTCTATGTCCCACAGATATGTTATGAACAACAACAGAGAGGGCATCGCTTCTCCTACTTGAAAAACTGCCTTAAAGTAATAGCAACAGAAGTACTGGAATATTTCTGCACAGACATGAGACCACCTGCAAAGAGGACACAAAAGACAGGCCGAAGTCCTGCCTATGTTCTGGTATGATAATCCCAAAGGTGCCATTTGAAGTTAGCACCATATGGGATATTACTTTGTGATTTCCCTGTTCATCCCCCCCACTTAGTCTTCCCTGTCTGCAAGCAGATGGTTTTATTCTGACTTTATGCCAGCTGGAGGAGCAAGCTTGCTTAGGACCCTTAACAATCTAAAGGCCTTTAAATATGGTCTCAAAGGAGATGTATGTACACTTTGCTCTGTGTGGTTTTTCTACCTGACTTGGCACGCTAGAGATGAAGAGATAGGCCAGGCCTGGGGCTGCCAGATACTTCAAGCTAAGGCAAGGCCTACACTACTGAAAAACATTCCAAGCCTGCATGAGGACATTGACTTCAGGAATCTTAAAAGACAGAAAGACTTCTCAGAAGGATGGAGGTCACTGAAAGGAGGAAACTGGAGGAAGGCCTCTTCAACACAAAGGAGCTGGTAGCATCCAGAGGGGGCAAAGCAAACACTTCACCCTTCTAATCCCGGGACAGTCATGAACAAATTATGGGTCGTTGAACAACCCAGTCCCCCTGTTCAAGTCCAAACATGTCTGCAGGCTCAGATACTGCTTCCAGCAGCACCAGTAACCTGCTCACCTTTTCTCCTCTGGCTTTCCAGGTGGGGCTCTGGGCTCTCTGAACCTGCCTGCCTCAGGCTAGCATCTCCATCAGCAGCCAAGAGCTTTGAGTTTGGCTGAACCTCTGGCACAATGCTTTCTCCTCCCTCCTGTTTCTCAGCTCTCTGCTCCTCTTGCAGGGCTGAGGAAGGCTCTGACAAGCTCTCAGCCCCCACTGTGCTGGGGATGTCCTTTAGTCTGGGGGGGCTGCTCTCCTTCTGAGGTGTGGGTGTTGGCTCAACAACAGACAGGGCAGAGGAACAAGGTGCATCCTGCAGTCTTGCTGGGCTTGGACCACCTTCTAAACCTTCAGAGGTGGTAACAAGGTGTGTTGGTATATCCATGGGGGCTGGTGTCACTGATGCAACAGTTGCTGCAGTAGCAGTGGTCTTCATAGACTTGGCTGATTCAACTCGCTCTGATTTGTTCACCTCAGAGAAAGCAGAAGAACAGGTTTGAGTACGGGAAGTAAACCAAAGCATCAGGTATTGGAGGACAGCTCTTCTGAGGATGCCTGGCCATAGCTCCTTCCACTTTCCCTTGGGCCTTTCTGGCATCCTCATCCCACCAGTCAGTAGAGGAGGAGCAAGAGCAGAAACTCACCTGAGGGAGCCTTCCCCAGGCCCACTGCATATGGGATTCAGCCCCTAGAGCAAAACTCTCCTGCAGTCTGATTTCCAGCTCAGAGTCTCTTTTGGGAGAAGATGGATGGCTCAGGGTGAAGCTACAAGAAGAGAAGGTGATATTGGACCTGACCTACCCCATAGCCCCAAGTTTCTCTATCACTGCAATGACATCTAGGGCCAAGAGCCCTATAAGCCTGGTTCCACAGAGCCAGTCCTGCCCCGTATCACCTATCACTTACAAACGAGCAAGACCTGTGAGAAGCTGTGGCCTGGGGAAGCAAAGTGATATGCCCCAGGCTGTCACGCAGCAGAGGCAAGGATCAGTCCAGGACCAAGCCGAGCGCCCCACGTACATGGTCTTCTTGCTTCTGCGACCACAGCCAGGAGAAGTCTCCTTCACAGGCCCAGACAGGGCTCCTATCTTTCCTTCAGCCACATCTTGTCAGGCCAAGGAAAAAACCACCACAAAAAGAAACTTCCATTCCTGACACTTCCAAATCCTTTTTCATTAAGGCCTACCCTAGCAAGGTATGTTCCCCACTCCTACCAAACTTGAGCAGAATGCCTTTGCTCTGTCACCATTACCTGTCCACAGAGGCCAGCTCCCCATCAGAATAAGGGTAGATCTCCTGGGACTGCAAGGACCCAGATTCTTCTTTGGGGAGATCGGTGAAGGAGAAATATACTGAATCACTGAAAAAGAGGAAGGAAGTTAGTTATGCACTGGGCCCTTCTCTCAGATGTCAGTCTCCTCTCTGAGAAAGCTGGCAATATCCAAATTTTCCATTTCCACTGGCTTTCTGCTTTTCCAGTCCACTGCAGTGACCCAAGTAGGTACTTCACAGAATGCTGGTGTTTCTCTGTGTAAAGTGTTTTGGCTCAAACAGGCATGTTTCAGCACTGCAGAGCATCAATGAATCAGCCAAAAGCTTGGCCCACTGTGTCATGCTGCCCAGACAACTAGCTTACCTGGGGGTTGGCAGCCTGTATTTCTCTTCCAGAGACATTTCACTTTCAGTGTCCTTGCAACCTTCTAAATTGGACTCTGTCACCTCCTTCTGCTTGGGCTTCTTCTTGCGTCGCTTCCTCTTACGCAGGGTCACTTCGGAGCTTGAGGCCTCCTGCCCCTGAGAGGCTTGAGCTAGATCCTCGGGGCTTTCCTCCATGGGAATGGGGGATGTGCAGAGATGGGAGGGAATGCTTCCCTGAAACACAGATGGAAAGAGTCCTTCATGTCAGACACCCTCCTTTCCCATGGCTCTATTCTGTGCAACTCAACCATCATAGCCAACACCACTGAGCCCCAGTCTTTGGAGTGGTTTTGTGTCTTGACCTAAAGAAGGCGTTTCATACACATGACAAAAAAAATTATATACATATATCCAGCCACAAGAAAGAGACATCTTTAGCACAGACAAGGAGAAGCAGGCAGGAGGTGGCACCAAGAGACTAGGATTATGGAGACTGCTGAGGGAATTTGGCTCCAGAGTCCTCCTCCTGCTACAGAAATAGTCCTGTCAAACCCAGCCTAGTCTAGTCCAAGCTAGCAGTCACCACAAGTCAGCCTGGGACAGAGCTGGCAGAAGCCGCAGCTAGTCTTGTCCCACTTCCACTGGAGCAGACAGCCTGCCTCAAGAGCTAGCTCGTTCTCATCCCTGTCACAAGATCCCCCAAGAGAACAAAGCTCAGAGGTATCTGGCTGGCTGGCCAGTAGTCATGTCCAGGAAGGGAGGCCTGTTTGGGATGCAGATATATGGCATAACGCTCCCTCAAGGTGTGCCACAGCCCAGGTCCCCCACATTGATTGGGAGGTCCTTTGAGAGGAACCTTTCAAGACATACAAACTATCAGAGCAGCTAGTGGAGCCACCCCAGTGAAGAACAGCAATCCAAGACCGCTCCTTCCACCTGAGCCTCACACTTCCAGCCAGTCACAGCAAGAGAGCAACATAAGGGCTCCTCAGGCATCTGTGTCCTTCAGCATTTTCAAGTGTGCCTGTTGGCCACTCCCATGGGCTGTTCATATGGTCCTGCTCCTTCAGGCCACCAGCCATCTCCTGGACTTTGCAGAACTCAGTACTGAAAGTCTCAAGCCCCTTTGTGAATCTGCCCATAGCAAACTGGTAGCAAGAGAAGCATTGGACCCACATCACAGAGGGACTCTGAGCAGCAGCCAAGACTTACATTCACTTCTTCATCACCAACCTCATTCTCCTCTGACTCCTGGAGGAAGAAGGCCTCTCCATTATCGCCCAGCTTCATGTGCAGGTCCACAGGCTCCCCATTGATTTTGATGTCAACCTGACAAGGGGAAGAAGTCTGTCCATCTAAACCCGCCCACCCATCAGTTTACAAGACGGCCCTTCCCTGGGGAGGGGACTGGATGAGTTTGCTCGGAGGGCTGACAGCCAGCTGGTCGTTGAGGCAGGAGACCTCTCCCAGTTTCCCTAGGAAGCACCCTCCTCTTTGGAAGAGGATGGGTTCCATTTTGGGGCACCCCCTTGAAAAACTAGCAAACATCCCTTTCAGCACGAGTCCCCTTTCCTGAAACGGGGCTCTTTTGTAAGTATAGACATTCATCTTCCCTCCCACAGACAACCACTTCCGTTCACGTCAGCACCTCTTGGTTAGATGCGCCTGCTTTGGGGACACTCTACGTAGATCCTAGGTGCAGAAACACCAAAGGAAGTATAATTCATTCCCTGCATCAGAAACTGGCTTGTGCTACCACCAGGACTGTGACAGGGGAGAGGACACAGCTCTCCTGAACTTAGAGCAGAAAACACCCAGAGGGAGGAACCCAAGGTCCCCAGCACCTGCTCTGCCAGGGAAGGCACCACTTACCACCTTCTCCTTCGAGCGCAGCACACCCAGCTTCCCAAAGCGCACGTGAAAAGGTGAGCACTGGAAGGAGTTATCGGGCTGTCTCACCACAATGACATCGATGCAACCTGTCAAGGTGGATGGGTTCAGACCTCTGTACAGCTCCTTCACAGTGACAAAGACGGTCTCGGCAAGCTGCCCCACATAATTCATTGTTTGAGCCTGCAGCCAAGATACAGGAATAGATTCAGGTCAGGACAAAAACACTCCACCAAGCAGATACACAGTTGAGTTTACTCTAGGAAAGTCACCTCATTTCACAGCTGCAAACAGCCCCATCAGGGAAGCAGGGAAACTGAGTCATTAGGGAAACTGAGGCAAAAAAATAAAGGGGTTTAATAGAGACCGGCCAGGGACTCGGTGAGAGTCGGTGACCAGAGGACGAGACAGGAGCCAGAGAACTAGCCATCCTATCTGACTTGGAGGAGAGATGCCTTTGCCATTAAGATATACCATCACACTTGCCCCTTGGGAGGGCAAATACTACTTCACAACCACACCTTGCAATCAAGTTGTTAACATACCATTCAAACAAGCATTTGGTTGGAGGGAGACATCCTGCCCTGGACTGTCCTTAAAAGCTCAGACAAGAGAGGTGGGAGGTCCAAGAAACTGCTGCATACACCACATGCTCACTTCATTCAAAGCCCAAACCTAACATGATCACTCAGAGGTGTGCACATAGGCATAGCCAAAATGATCAGACATAGCCCCTGTTAAAACTAAAACTCTCTGGTCTTAACTCCTTGTTCACTGCCACCATCATCCAGCTTCCCAAGGAACCCCAGGAAAGAACATGCTGCTGCCAGGAGTTGCAGGCTGGCCGAGGACTCCCAGACAGTGCTGAAATTCCATTTTTAATGAGGCTCTAGTGTACTCCAGGGTTGCACAGTTTGTTTTTCATTCACATTTGGAATGAAAACCCTGCCTGATTTCTGCTCATCACCTCACCTGCTCACAACCTTCAGCTGCTTGCTGCTCTCCAAGTGGAAGATAATCCCCCCTCCACCACACACAGGCACATGGAGAAAAGGGATATCTGCAGAGGTGGGATATTCACACAGTCCCTGCTGGAGATTCACAGCCAGGTCCTCCCAGTGACGCGAGACAGCACGCAAGCTCCAGATGGTTTGGCAGGCTTTCGTACAACCCACCTTCCTGCAGGCCACCACTGGGAGCTTCCTCCTGGTCAACACATGGGAAAACCCCAGAGTACTTTCTTGCTTATCACAGCCTGGGTGCCAGGTGTTCATCCAAGCCTCTACTGCAAAAGCAGCACTGAGTAAGACCCAATAGCCAAGGGTTAGAGGAGCTTGGTATCTTTCCTGCAGTTATCCTGAGCTCCCGGCACATAAGCCTCAAGGAGGGTAAGCAGTTCCAGGACAGGGCAACATTTTGACTGGCTGCTCCTTAGGAGGAGGAGAAAGCCGCACAATTCATGGGGAGCCACAGCAGCACTAACAACATCTTATCAGGGTAGTTGTCCAGCAACATCCCAGCCATAAGCGAGAGACCCAGGGCCACAAACTGTACAGAACAGACAATAGCAAAGCCACAGACCAACCTCACTTGTCACCTCAAGCTCCCAGCCAGCATGTCCTACCAGTTGCACCTCAAGGTCTCCCCAGCACCCAGGCTCTCCTGGCCTTCCTCATTCTTAGCTGGGGAGGAACACTGCCCCAGGCCCAGGGAAAAGGGAGATGTAAGATAAGGTAGGATGAACCAGCGTAGGTGGAGGAGGGACCACATGCTGTTTAATCTCTTCTAGCCCAAAGCAATGCTAGGGCCAGAAAAGGAAGGGTCTCCTTTTCTGGGAGGGGGAGCCTCCAGGGGGGAAGCCTGTTTCTTTGGGCTCCATGAGGCTACTCTGTTTGAGAGCACCCCATACAGGCTCTGGTCACCGATGCGGCCAGATGAGCCAGGCAGCTTGCTAGCTCGGAGGCCTGCACCGCAGTGCTGCAGAGAAGAGCTGGGTTCAAATCCCGTTCCCTCGCTAGCATACAGCATTGGCAGGATAACCATCTGCATGTTATCGCATCAAACCCTGGGAGCAAGTCCATGGCTGCATCGATCAAGACACTGGGGTGCCACAGAGGCTGAGCCTAGCTTTCAGAGCTGCCAACTCCGGACCCACCTACCCCCAGGACAGTTGCTGTGGATGAGCTAAAAACCACTTCTCACTCCTGTGGACGGTCAGCAATGGCACAGCATCCCCGGGGGCTCCTGGCACAGCTTCCAGGAGCACACAGCCTGTGAGGAGACCACAGGAAAGCCAATTCCTTACCCAGAGGGACAAGGACAGACAGACGCTGCCTGATGACCTCTCTGCCCTGGCAGGCACCAGGCCCGTCCGGTCCGTTTTGCAGAAGCTCACATCCTTCCCATTGCCAGTCATCCCCCGGGTCCCTCCGGGGGGCAGGTCTGCACCAGGAGCCCCAGGCCCAGCTCCATGTTCCCTCCACTCCTCTCCCATGCAGCGATGGCGGAGAATGAGCCAAAAACCCCCGCGGCTGAGCAGGGCACTGCGGGCAGCAGCAGCCGGCTCCAGAAGCTTCAGTGCCTCCGTCAGCTCTGCACAGCACCAGTGTCATGGGACGAGGCTCTCACCGCGCTGTCCTGCTGAGCCCAGCTTTCCCCAACACCGCCGCTGGGCAGAGGCCCATGAGACTGCCAGCGCCTGCCGCCTTCCCACGACACAGCCAAGCCTGCGCCCAGCCCTCAT